TTGGTTAAAGAAGGCGGTACGGGTCATCGAATGCTTTTCCAATGGTCATAGGATAAGATAGAAAGGAAAAATGGGGAGCTTTTATGAAAAGGAAAACTTGAGTGGAACCGGTGTGGCCAAAGTAGCAAATGAAGGAAAAAATGTGGCAGAAATGATAATTGGCAAAGGTTCCTGTTCACCAAGTTTTTAGCAATTAATAGTATATACAATTCCAAAATAATTTCCTATTTTTCCAAATTTCCCTTTCGAAAACATCAATAGTGTGTGCATTGGTGCAATGGTAGAAATTTCATGATAATTTTTAGTATTTTCATAATTGTCCTTTTCAAAAAATACATCAACAACATATTTGGTACAATGACAACAACTTCATAACAATTTTCTATATTTTCAAAATTACCCTTTTTCAAAAACATCAACATATATAATGTGTGCATATTGGTGCAATGACAGCAATTTCATAATAATTTTTCATATTTACAAAATTGCCCTTTAAAAAAAACATCAACATTCAACGTGTGTATGTAAATAATTACTATGCAATCAACTAAAAAGGGTATTAAAAACATGACGAGGAAGAAAAATCTTGCCTAAACAAACCATCAATGTAATTTAACGCATTTGTAATAATACATTAACTTGTTAAAAATGTTGGGAAAATTTAGGGTTTGTGGTGGAGATCTGGATACCAACTTGGATCGTGATATCACTTTCCGAACTGATATTTCTACCATATGCTTGGGTTACAAGAAATTCAGCCTAGGATAATCCAAGTGGACACTTACGTTTCTAGGCATAGAAAACGTAAGCCAATATGCTAAAGGGTTCTGTGAATGTGTGATGAAAAACGAGAGCTAAAGAACGTCCCCCACTTCTGGAAATGAAGAGTTGTTTATATATTAAACACGATTAGGGTGTCATTAGGGTTGAGCCGTCATTAGTTGCTTTCGAAGCAAGTAATATTAATCTGGATTAGGGTTACCAAAACTAACGAGTTTCGTTAGTTTTACCATAATCACCCTCAAGAAATTGAGTTTTCCATTATGTTCCCACATGCTAAAGGGTCAGCGGGACCCCAGCCAGGGGCTCTGCCCCTTGGACCCGGCTAGGGGCGCTGCCCCTAGACCCCGCCAAAGGGGCGCTGCCCCTTTGGAAACCCCGGACCCGGGGGCGCTGCCCCCGGACCCCCGACTAGTCGTCGAACCGGCTTTTGACTCGATCTTATACATGTATGCACTCCGCACAACCCCATACATATATTAGAGTACAAATCAAGAAGCCCCTTAGCTCACATGTTAGTTCCAGTTACTTAAAATGACATGGTGACACTAAAATCACCAACAAAAAAAAGGAAGCTTATTTTATGAACACAAATAAAGACAAAAAAAATTTTGTTTTCAAATCATTTTTGTGATGATTAAAAGCTAAAAAGTCATAATGTAAGGTTACAAAATGTCTTTAATGTCCTTTAATACCATGTTATAACAACAAAATGAGGCATACAGATCAAAGTCAAAAACATGTACGAAACTATTTCAATAGCATTTATGTAACACCCCGTTTTCACTTTACACTAAAATTTAATATAAACGTTTGTTTATAAAATTTGAAGTAGAAATATATTACTTTTTAGCCAAAGTAATCTTCACAAAAGTTGTAGTAGTCGTAACGACAATTTCATGGATATAAAGAATATTTAAATCTGACTTCGTATGAGGAAGTTATGATTTTTTGAAACTTCGGTGTGACATAGTACAACAGTGTGCGACACAAAAATCGAAATGAAAATTGATTGATTGTTAGCCAAAATAATGTAAACAAGAGTTGAAGATCTTGTAAATACGAATTTGTCGATATAGAGAACGTTGAGAACGAAGTTTGTATGAAGAAGTTTAAATTTTGCACGGTCTTTTACAGTGTAATATTCATAGACAGTATATTTAAAATAGAATAAGAATTAGTTGTTGAGATCTAAAGGAAAGTTGTGGTACCTAGAAATACCTACGCGTGGATATAAAGAATGTCGAAAAAGAAGCTCGTATGCAAGAGTTATAAATTTCCAAATATTGCGAAAAATACCCGGAAGTGATGACGTAACAGCACCAGAGTGCGCCACGTGGTAGAGGCGGTAGCCTCATCTTCCACCGACCAAGCGACGTGGCATCACAGAATCATAACACGTGGCACCATCAAGAATCTGGCACATCGTCTGGGCGCCCCGCGCCATGTCAGACACGCAACACACTTTCACTCCTGGGATGTAACATTGCAATCCAAGTTTTCCCTTTAAGCCCTTAGTTGTAAATTCTTTTCATTTTGGTGCCTAGCTGATTGCGCTGGGTGTACTGGCTCGATGGTTGGACGCAGAGGCACCCATGTACGCTGGGCTTACGTGGGAGTATGTCGGGTGTACGCTCATCAGGGGCAAACCCTAATTTTTAGGGTTTGTGCCCTATTTAATCAACTTATGTTGCTTTGGAGAGTATCTTATGGTCAGACTTCGCTTCTCTAAACCCTAAGAACGAAACCCTAGCCTCATTTGAGTGTTTGTGAACCAACACGTCTAGGGATGCAAACGGATCGGGGATTCCCCGCTACCCGCGGGTACCCGACCCAAACGGACCGGGGATTCCCCGCCCTAGCGGGTAACGGATCGGGTATGGGGTTCAACTATCTTACCCGTAACGGGGACGGGGCGGGGATGGGCATAGCACTATCCGCCCCGTTTAAAA